GTGCACCAGCATCAGCAGTGTTGATGATGTCAGGGACAAGACAAAGAAAATGGCTGCTTGTACGTCACTAACAGAGCCAACCATGATAATGTGTCAATATCTTGAGCATGGGTGAGGACGTGATAAAAGTTCAGTAGGCACTGATACTAACGTGTACTTTATTTTTCAAGGTGCGCTTATACTTACTAGTGCACTATCTGGGGCCCTTGAAGGCTTGGCCTTGCATTTGTTGCTAAAACAAGCAACTGGTAATTTTTGCATCATCAACTTTCAATGCAGATTTCACAAGCTCTAAACCCTCTAATTTGTGCTACTTTTCAAGATTTGGCAAGCCTTTGAAGCCCCGTATAAGTTGATGAAATTTATAAAATTATTCTATTTGTAATCTGGATCACCTGTCAACATTGCATTTAGTAAAATCTTCTGCTCATAAAAGTTAAATCTTCACGTACAGAAAGAAACTTATCTATTTCTACAATACTTGTGCGGCTCTTCGCATTGTGTATTGTGCTTTACTGGTGAACATCCAATGAAATGCTGTCGTTGGACCTAGGATTCCATGTCAAATTGACCCTCACGCATATATACAGATATGTGTTTGCCATATACCAGACATACACATAAGTTTGATACTACTGACCGCTTTGTTATTACGGGTAGTGGGCTCACGCGATGGGCTCAGACAGATTCGAAAGAGAAACAAACATTCATCCCGGGAAAACAAACGGTACTCTAAATTAAATAGAAGTGTTCCAAATCACACAATAAACTACAGACTAATGAAGCTAGCTTCGAACTGGTAGCAAAATAGTTCTTGATAATATCCTAAAAATGCTCACTCTTCCAAAGTAAAGTTGTCAGTTTCGCCTTATTTGTTTTAGTGGTTCGGCCAAGCCTACGTGGCGCTGCTGACATGGCTAGCTCGTGGCGAAAGTCCGGACTGTGGTCGATCCCAACGTCCACTCCACTGCTCGTTGCGTCCAGTCGCTGCCTGTGCGGGTAGGCCGTCATCGCTGACGCTAGTAGGTACTTCTCTGGATTCTGCCACTGTCTACTGCTTCACCCATCGTGGCATTCGATTGCTCACGTGGTACTCCAGGGATTGCCTTGGGTGACTTGCTTTCGAAAGAGGGCTTGCGCTGGAAACACTCGTCCTTGTTAGGCATGGCAGCTGCGTCTCCGAGAAGCCTCCGTTCAATCACCATCTATTTCGCTGGTCACCTCAAGACGCCCGCGTCTCAGGCAGAGGACCAAAGCGCTTGTTTATCGCGTCTCCAGAGCGTGCTGACGATGCAAACTTCCGCCACCAAGTTCCTCGAAACAATGCCAGCCCACCATCTCCTTGTCCATCCCTTCGACTCAATTCTCGCGCATCTAATTCTGTAAAACATTCCGAGCACGCGCCTCTGCTACTTCCAACGCTTGTCGTCTTCATCGTTTTCTAATCTCGCGGCTCTCACTCATGACAAATCTGCGATCATTCTCCCTGTTGTGATAACAGCAGTGGGCAACATGGCGTATGGTCACTTCCTCATTGTTACCGCAAAGAAAAGCCGAAAACGAGAAAAAGTTCCAAAAGGCATGAATGTGTGATGTGTACGTTGTTTCCGCTTGCTTGCTTGCTTCACGTTCCAGTTAACGCTAGTGACGCCAAAAAAAGCCCTGTGCGACAGTGGAGCATCTCTGTCAATAATTAATAAGATTCTCGTGCATGTAAGGTGCTTGCAAGCTGGAAGGACCCTGCGCATTCAAGGGTGGGATACCGTTTGGGTGCAAGCAATCCCCAGCCTGGTTTCAGAAAGATCATGAACAAAACTCCCAGGCCCTATCTGCGCACACTTTGCAATGTTTACGATGACGACATAATACTTTCCTCAATAACAAAAGAAGAGAAGCGCAGGCACATGTCACTAGTTTTCGAAACGCTCAGTATGGGAAGTCTCAAAGTGAACTTCAAGAAACGTGTTTTCTTTCAAGTAGGAATAGTGTTGGTGGGAAGGGTCCTTGATGGTTCCATAAAAAAACTAGAAAATGGGAAGCTGGAATCCCTGGAGATAATATGCAAATCGGTGAAGCTCTATGACATACATTCGTTGCGTCTTTGCCTGGGCCTGACACTTTTGGTCATTCAAAAATACTATACTACTAAAGTGAGATGTCTCACACGCTTGGCCCAGGAAGAAGTACGATTTCAGTGGAATCGCTAATGTGAAAGTGCTTACCCGAACTTGTGAAAATATAATCGTCGGACCATGTCCAAGCAATCCCAGAATTCTCCTTACTGTTCGTGCTAGATTCATATGCGTCATATTATGCGAAAGAAAAAAAGGTAAATGAGAAATAAACAATCAGATATAAGGAATACAGAAATTCAACCAGATGGTTTCACCCATAACAATAAGTAAATGTATGAATAAAGCAGTTTGAAAAAAAGGTGATTTAGGAGTAATACTAGGTTCTACAGCCTAAATATTTTTGAAGCTTTAATAAACTTCTGCAAAGCATCGTCAGCATTCCCGTCAGTGAACCCCAGGGACAAAGCCCCCAAAGGAAGTACGTTTGAAGTGGTCAACTCCAAACCCGCGAGACGGAACATGGCATCTAATGTAACTTTGCGCAATACAGCGTATTTTTTACAATATATCAAATAATGTTCTGATGTCTCAGGGACTCCACAAAACCAACGATTAGGTGAAGCAGCCAGACCAGCTCTGTGTTAATAAAAATTTATATATGGAGCGTGGCACCTCAGCCTTGTGATTGAGACTTCAACTGCACACGTGTCACATAATTTACTGTTTTAACGATGATGTAGGTGTTAAAATTCCAATTTGTTTATTATGAATGGCAAAAAAAATCTTCTAACATAATTTTCCTCCTTAATATTTGGCCCTTTAACGAATTTAAATGCTGGAAGTACGTGAATAATTGGGAAATATATTGATGACTCAGCTAATGCATCCGCCATTTGATTAAGGAAAATTTCCTTATGCCCTGGTACCCAGCAAATTTAACCAACTGTATATACGGTGAAACTAATAATTTAAAAGTACTCAGCACGTAGGAGTTGTCATTTGCAGTGAGAGAAGAACACACCGACAGCAAATCTGTTAAAGTTATTGCCAAACAAGTTTGTGCAGTTAATTTGCAGAGAGCCAAATTTTCTCAAAAACTCTGCTATGAAAATGGCTACAAAATCTGGAATGCGTAGAGAGAATAAGCAATTTATAATAAGGGCGAATATCCCAATTCCACATTTTTCTTCATTTTTCGAAGCGTCTGTCGTAATGACGGTCCTTATTCATAATTGAACCACATAATCACACAGAATAAAGGTTAAAGGGTGGTCCGACATTAGTTTCGCTTGTTTGGAAAATTTTCGTCAAGCTGTATTTCGATGTAGCTGTTGCTATCACTGATCGGAGATACGGCACCTATTTGAACATTAAAGTTGTCACGGAAGCTCTGTATATGGAGAAATTGAGGCGTGTGAAATCTTGGCCGATATGCTCAAAAGAACGACTAAGGCTGGGAGATGAAACTTGTTTTAGAACGCCTTACTGGGGTTTTAGGGAGTTTCAAAAATGATTGTACCACCAATCTTTTCAAACGTGAATTAAGCGATGGGAGCCTAGCTTCCTTATACAAGACTTTAATGGTTACAAATTTAGGAAGACCTAAACACAGACGCAAAAATTGGCTCTCAAGCATTGCAAGCGGGCGAAGCTTATAAGCAAGAGCATAAGCGTATAATATGCATCCAATATTCAGCACCGCCTGAACGTACATGCAGTATATTGATAAAAGCGTTGGCCTTCGCTTTGCCAAATCGACTATGACTTATGTTGCGGAACGAAACGACCGTTCGAACACCCTTTATTTATATGTATTCAATGCGTTCTTTCCAAGACGTAGAACGATCGTATAGCACACCAAGGTATTTTATTTGTTCAACTCGCGGAATACACGCTAGATGACAATAAAGAGAAGTATTAATGGGGTATTTCAAAGGAATTGGCAGTATCGAGCAGTTTCGCACATTCAGATGCAGGTGTATTTCATCAAGCCACCTTTCTATAACTGATAAGTATGACTGTAGCATCTGATATTGATTGTGAATATTGCCGGCTGCTGTAAAAAATGTGTCATCCGCATAAACATATGTTTGTACGTTCTGATGCCTTGGTATATAAATCATTAGTATAATAAATAACGCAGGGAAAAAGACTGCCCCTTTCGGAATGCCTCATGCTTGCGCGTACGCAGACGAAAAAATGCCGCTTTGGGAAAAAAGTATTGTCCGATTACAGAAAAAAAAAACTCAAGTCATGCCGTATTGCAAGTTGGGAGCTTCATGTTGGGCAACTGCTTAAATAAAACTGCATGCTCAACCCTGTCATTCGCTTTTGCGATGTTCAACGTTACTATTACGGCATACTTTCTTTCACGCCGAGCTAACCCAATCCGACTCTCAATATTTATATGTGCATGCCATATCGAGCACCATAATCTGAAGCCAATTTGAGACGGATTTAGAATATTTTTCTCGTTAATGCATTTTATGATACGGATATTTAGCACTCGCTCAATCAATTTCACAAAATTAGAGGTTAGTGCAATGGACCTAATGTTGTCAAGTTCACAACCTTCATCGGAATTTTTACCCAGTGGTATATATAGACATATAGTATCCTATAAATGCTAACTTCACTATTGCTTACCAACAAAAATAATGTGAAAGAAGTAACTGACATTATCAAAAAGCAAGAAAGTTGGAAAAAACAGGAAGCTGCCATTATTTCATCAAGATGACCTAATTTCTGAGCCGACCAGACATCTGAGTATCAAAGCACGAATACAAATTTAAAAAAAAAACGAAAACACGCAATAAAAATTAGGAGAGATGAAAAAGAAACCAGGAAGAACAGTAAAAGCGAAAAAATACGATGAAAAGATATAACCTAGCAAAAAAAAGAAAGACAAAACGGAGGCGACCCAGGTCTCAGGTTTGGTCTTATTACTGCAAAAATTGCTTAAATTTTATTCCTCAGGTCGTTTTCTCTGTTTCAACAGTATAGGGTGCCATGGAAAATTATGTTGTTTGGTGACAGCCAGCTTTTGTGATCACGCACGCACGATGGCAACAAGTATACTAGCACCAAAAGTTCGTTTCTGTGGCTCTAGATGACCTAACCGCCACTGTACGTATGCGACGTGGTACACTAACGCACTGTAGAGGAAATCTATTGCGAAGAAATAGCCAGGATACGTTGACCTCATTTCCTTTTTCTTCTGTACACGGAAGCTTGGAGCATTCAACTGAGGTAGTCAGGAATGATGCTTTACAAACCTGGAAAACGGAGACATCATCAGACACCTTTACCATTGAAATAGAAATTTTGTTAACTGCTCATACAATAAAGTTTCGCATTCACCCATTAATTCATCACCTGATCATATAAATTTATTTATTGTTGAATAAGAATACTGTATGGTGAGGCTTTGTTTATTTATCCTGAAAGGTGAGTGCATCTGTGTTTTTCAAGTTTGCCTGTTTTCCAACGAAGCGCTGTAGTAACGTTAGCTTCAAGTCAGCCTTGTGGTATAAAGCTGCATGTATGTCTCGTTAGACGTTTTTTTTTTTGTCCACAGGTGGTGCTGCACCATTTTTATAGCAACTGTATAAGGTGTGTGTCCTTGCATTGCTCGGTCTTGCTGTCGTCGTTTGCGTCACCATAGGTGGCGTAACCGATAAGCATGAAACATAAAATGCAAATAAATATCCACAAACGAAGGGGGTTACAGTAAGGACCAAAGAAGGACTAACAATAAACCTGCGTGATATAGCAGGGCAGAAGAGTAATTCAAGTATTAGTAATAATACAAGGCTAGTTGAACAACATTTGTGTCGTTCAGTGTCTTTCACACACTGTAATGTGCTCAGCCAAAACGTTTTGTCATCAGCCAAATACTGCATCAACAATGTGCACAATCTTGCTGACACCAGATGGTGGTACACTCCATGAAGTCAACTGCATTGCATTCGTAGATATAAGTCTACAGAACGTTTTCAGCAGTAGATAGGCCTAATATTTTATTAAAGTGCAGTATATCGTCTTCATTTCTGTCCTTATGACTTCGTCGTATTAGTAATCTTTCGAAGCAACCAGATGTTAGAAAATACCAGCGGCTTTGTCTGGCCATGTCAGGATATACGCAGCGTGAGCTAAGGATGGACCAATGGACCGACGGACGGTTGCACGGCCTCATGCGAGGATGGACAGACGGGTGGACTAGCAAGCGAGATCACGTGGGTCAAGCGCCAGCCCACAAGGACACGTCACTGCACGAGCTTCCAAGAGTTCTCCGGTGCGGTAGCTGTGTGACGTCGTGTGACATCACCGCTCCTCAGGCATACACACCACGGCTCTCGTTATGCCACTAAAACTGTTCATCCTTAGCCAGTGTAGCTAACGCTACAAAAAAGAAGGCTGGCACAAGTATACGATTATATGGCGCCATGGCGCAGTCAATGCCTCTGGAAATCAAGAAATAATTATAATATTTTGTTTTAGTTATTACTTTTTAATTATGCGCACAATGACATATAAAGGGCTACCAGTTATTACGGGACGTTTTACAGGCATATCATAGACTGTCGCAGCGCTTAATATTACGGTGCTGACTCGCCTGGAGAGAATTGTTCTTCAAGTCCCTTCACGCTATAATTTTTTTTTCATCTTGTGTGCTACGTTGCGTTCACTGAATGTAAACAGTTCTTGAACTTGAATTGATGGCATAGATTATGACATGCGATGGTCACAGTGTGACTTATGACACGTTCATAGAGGTGTCAAATGAGCATAGCTTCTTCAAGAAAATGTAGTAGCTTTGGCCCAAATTAATCCGCTTCTGTGTTTTGTGCTCCAAATAGCGAAGTTTGTGCAGTTCACACATTCAAAGTGAAACTTCATTCTGTAAAACATATTTACCTCAAAGTATTACTAAATCATCTAGAAACTAATTCATCGTTCCTTGTGGTCAAGCATAACCTACCAAATTTACCTACTTGGTACACACAGTCTTCAATCCTACATCCCGTTGATGTAATCACTTACATTTGTCCTTGAATATCAGCATAAGTAAGCCCTTTGCTTTTAAGACAGCAGCCGAAGAAACTTGCACATTCTTGAGAAAGTCACAAAACAGGTCCTCAATAGCATCTTGTGGGACGTGGTCGAAAAAATCTCTGGCGATGCACTTGAAATTGGTAAGAGGAAAAAGATAGTGGCATGCAAAATCAGTTTAATGTTTTGCTAACAGTAATGACCCTGATATCTAATGTGCATTACTCCTCTTAGATCACGAAAAGTTTTCATTAGTAATATTAGTGTTAAGTAAACAAGTCATTGTACTTGGTGAGCTTGCGTGTCTTATTTACATGAGTTTTACTCAGACGTTTCATGAAAACAAAAAGAAACAGCTTCGGCTTTCAGAATAAAACTTGGTAAGAGCATCAGCTTTTTACAAATGGCGTTCACATTCATTTGCCATGAGCTTAAGTACTAGGACACTTGTCTCATAAAAGAAAACCTTTAGTCTACCCGATCTGCGTTGGCTTTGTCATCATGTAGGTTCTTTGTACAGTTTCCCTTTCACAAGTACATTAGAAGTGTACGCGTGCTCACGCACTTTATGCCTCAGCTTTGATGTCCGTGTTGTTACTCATAGCAGGTTAGCAGGTCTGCACAAGACCACTATGAAATGTCAGCTTGTATTTTATTGTTATGCATTCAGGCTTTCTTTATGAAAGAGATTTCATAGGTTCCTTTCAATGACCTTAACCTGATGAGTCATTATTTTGTCAAGAAAGTAAGCCTTGTTGGTGTCGAAAGCAAATTTTTACCATTTTTTTTACTGAGAAACCTCAATTTGTAGGCATGAGCTACTCAAAAAATGTTATTTTAGATCTGAGCAGTCTCTAAGCTGTTCAATGTCTTCATTTTTTCCACTGGTGCACAAGGCGAATTCCGACATCACATTTTCAACTATGTGGGTTTTTAAAAAGATATCGCGCTTATAGATTCTTGAACTGTTTCTTTTATGAAATGTTTGTCGGGAGCATAATGAAACCGCGATATCCAATAAATGTTTTCACACAGTTTTGACCAGATAAAAATATTGCATTTCATTCGACATGCGAAACTGCTGCCTCATTCAAAGTACAATTCGCCTTGAGTGCGCAAAAGTATTCCAGCTAGAATTCCTTATATGGGCAAAGCCAAAAGAGGAGTCGGGGTTTAAAAATATCCCGATTGTTTACCTTTTTTCTGCATATGTACGCACGAAACATATAACAATACGCATAAACATAAAAATATAATTAAACCCATGATATTCTCTGAAAATATCTCTGACTATGCTGCTGCCTCACACAAAATTAATACAAGATGGGATTCTCCGAAACTGAACAAAGATTTATGAAGTAGGGGCTACTGCTAAGCTGCGCCATTTAACTTCATCTTTTTTTTTTTGCTCCCGGAACTTGTCACACTAGTCTATGGAAATGGAATATCAGTCGTTTACACGCCCGATTTTTGGCGTGCTACATGAAATGAAAATTGACGGCGAAAGAATGATGCCGGACAATACAAGCAGGTACTATTGTTTCTTCGTCGATTTTATTTTGTTGTAGCAAGTAAACAGCTTACATTATGTACATCCAACTGGTTCCTCACCCTGGCGCTTCCAGTGTTTACACACATAACAGCAGTGAAGCCCTGACCGAAGTTTTGAGCTCTTTCGCCAAACGCTTTAACCAGGGCTTCGACAAGTTGTTTGGCAAAGGTGGCGTCGAGGAAAGCCCTTGACGTCCCCTCAAGGGAGGCCTAGGCCCGGCCACCTAAACCTGCAGTTTTTATTTTACAATAAAGTTTATTCCTCCTTCTCATCGTGTGAACACGTATATATTTTGTGTGTACGCGCATGTGTTCGTGTTTGTGTGTGCGTGTGAATCAACCTTATGCTTTAGGTGCAGCTTCATAATTCCTGCGTCACTATTACAGTGTGAAGAGAAATAACGATATGTTTCTGGCACTTACCTCTTCAAGATGTATTATGGACCACACTTGGCTCGCCTAGAACAAATACCATATTTAAATTTACAGCAAGACAGGGGCAAATGTGTCCACGTGTCGATCTAACCTGCTCTGTCCTTTCGATGCGTAAGTCTACGTTATATTTGGCGTAGAACATGTGTTTTTCTACAGAGCAATATGTCATGTTTCCCAACATCAAGATCTTCATCAGGTTCACTACGTCTACTGCAGGGTATCTGCCAAACAACCTGGTCTTGTGCTTTCTGTTGCCACGTCATACCCGCAAGGTTAAATTCTCTTCGACGCACGTAACTTTGGCTTAGAACAAGTGTATCACGACAAGGTTACCGCAGTTGTCCTACGCCAATTGTCCTACGGGTACCCTGCAAGCGGGCTTGCAAGTGGGTACCCTGCAAGCGGGCTTGCAAGAAAAGCCCCAAGAGGACTTCCAATCGGCTCTAGAAATGCTTCTCTTTCAGCTTTCGCAGTGACTGTGGGGTGCTTTCTGTGCAACTGGAAAACGCCCTTTTTTTGTTGCAACAGGGAAGCGGGTGGATTATTACAGATATTTAGCAAGTACAATCCCCCTAAACACAGGTGTAACTTTATATTTAGGCGCTATCGTGCTGAACAGTTTTTGCAAGGCAGGCCTACAGGACGCGAAAACATTGAGTAGTCATCATCGGAAGGCTAATACTGCGAAGTTCCTCGGCAGCATTTATCTTTTCTTTGCAATTGTATACTGCGACATGTTTACCGGAATGACATTTGGGAACCTTACCACATCTTGTTGTCCCATAAGAAATTGATGCTATAGCTCGGTACTTACATTGACTGTAGTTCCTTGCACGCACCCAGCCAAGTTTTCGTTGACACACTGCGTTTGCGAGAGGCATACATTGCAAGAGCAAGCTACTACACAAGTGTACGCGATTATAAAACGTTGAAATGGAGGGACGATAAAACCAAAGATAATAAAGAACACGCGTAGATAGATACTAGCGCCTGCCTTTCGCGTATTCTTCATCGACTGTATTTAATTATCATGCCCTTGTTGCATCGTTTCATAAATATGAACCCTTAACTATCAAACGTAGCGAACCTGATTTCTAGTGTGTACAGAATACATGTGTGCGCCACGCTTTAAAGGAAATATGGCATCAACATGAACACGCATACTCAATAAACACGTAATCAACAACGACACAAATTTACTGCAGATCCGTGAATACTGATGATTGAGCGAGCCTAAGTCCTAAGCTCCATAAGGTCTACGTTGAAGCCACCAACTAGTAGAAATGTACGAAATGATGCACGGTCTGATGAACGAAAAAATAAATAGAAAGATGCAGCGTCAGAGTACAGTCTATTTATAATCTATATGTGGGCTGTGAACGCTCTATATGCCATATATGTAACACCCGTGTTTCGGTCTGACGGGGCGCTACGACAACGACATCAACACGCAGCGTGAGTACCTGAAAAGCTTCGCTGTTAAAAGATTCAGTAAATATATTCAAAATATTTTTGCTACGGTGAACCATGTTACTTGGAGTATCAAAGTAGCCTGAAGCACAATCTCGCAATAATTCAATAATTCCATCATGACATATTTTGTCAATAACTACTCTGTAAAAGTCGTCCCGACTATGGTCCCACTGAATCGGATTAAATAACGCCTCCATGTCCCATGATCTTAACACGAGAGAATGAACCTATAAGGATTACATATTCCCAATCTGTTAATATGGTTCGTTAATAGGGTAAATTTTATATCACACGGCAACGCACACGATTATTCTGAAGCGCATACCTGCATACATACATACATACATACATACATACATACATACATACATACATACATACATACATACATACATACATACATACATACATACATACATACATACATACATACATACATACATACATACATACATACATACATACATACATACATACATGCATGCATACATACATACATACATACATACATACATACATACATACATACATACATACATACATACATACATACATACATACATACATACATACATACATACATACATACATACATACATACATACATACATACATACATACATACATACATACATACATACATACATAGGCACTCAGTCTGAGTTGCAACAAGCTGGCTAAATTTAAAGTTATTCTAATCTTGAACAATGACAATAAAAAACGTTAAACTTGTTAAGAAGCTACTGCTAGTTGTGAGAGTTTAATTCACCATTTTCCTAATGTAAATGGTGCTTCGGATGTTGCCTCCATTTTGAGCACAAACAGCACGTTGCGACTCACATTCAGCGCGAGTGTACATGCGTGAGAGAGTCGAAAATCTTTGAGGATAACTGACCAACCTTAGTCCATATATTCGGCAATGTAATTATCAATTCTCCTTCGCATACTTGGTCACCGATGTGCCCACTGTATTTCTTTGCATATAAGTAATAATCCACGACATTGGCAGCTGAAATAAAGATATAACGCCTTGCTTTAGCAAAAAGAAATATATACAAAATACAAAATCCTGCAAAAACACTATGCTGTAGAAACTGCATCGTACCTGCTTGAAAGGACGAATAAAGTTATTTGAATTGAGCTGCCATGACCTGAGGAAGCCACCTCTGGACTAGTGCTCATGAATTACGTGACCCTTATACGTTTGTGGCAAGTGACTTCATAAATAAAGTTGAAACAGCTCAAACAGCAAACACAATTACGGGTTCGTCATGGATATGACAGTAAAAAGCTCCGACGTGCCATTCCAGGAGCAGAGGGCCCTTAGGTCGTAACATAGTATGCGTTTCATGCTCCCAAACACGTTCATTTACATGCAAAAGTTAACGTTACTCAAACTAAGAGTAATCCGTTATTTACATTTGCTGCAATGAACATCTTTTGCAGCTTGCTCAATTGTAGCTCCAGCACAGCATCCAAAATCTCATTTGCAGAAAAATACCAGTGTGGCGTCATTTTACATTTAGAGCAAAATTGGTTTTTCTTTATAAGGAAGATATTGGGATCACTTGCGGCCGGATTCCATGAAGAGTGATGACAACTAGGGGCTCCCAGATCGAGTTAGCCATGATGGCTACCGACGCGCTGGAAATATCAAGAATATTCGCGCATATAAACACATAGGACTGTGCAAGAACCAGTGCGTTGGTTGGAAATATTTGTTTAAAATTAATAGAGTTTGAATTAACGAGAATTTGCTGTAATAGCTTGAAAATCAACTGATTAAGCTAACTCGCTCTTTGTTTGCACTTTTCTAATACCCTATCTGTAGCTCACATGAATACATAAAACGCAACTCGAGCGTATATATACAGTAGACACTTTATTTCTCATCGTCCCAGATGAAGGTGTTGCTTCCAGCAAGCGTGGTAAAATATGAAGCTAATATTTGCTACCTTCCGCTTGAACTTTGAGCGTAGAAGGCAATACTTCAATAAAGCTCAACGAGATGGGGCTCCATGTCTGGTATCTGTGACAGATGGCTGATGTGAAAATGTCGTTTCACAGAAGCGTCGACTTTTTCGTCCTAGAAGAGCGTACGCAAGGTTTTTCATAGTTTATTTAGCCCAGTATGTGTGAAAGTACTGCGGAATTGTCTCAAATGAAGTTCTAATGAAACTAGGAACATTGTGCATCCTAAAATGCTGTTAACATTTGTTTCATCTATTCAAGTGATTTTGGAGTAAGTGTATTTATTTCTCAAAAGCAATTGCATTTTTCCAGTTTTTTTTATTTTTCTTTCGAAATTATTCCAGTCGGTGCTTATCTAGGCCATGACAGCAAGCGTGGAAAACTTTTCATTCAGAATGGCGTCACGTATCGCGAAAACATTTAGGGAGCGTACAGCATATCAATGAGATTATGCGTACTACCTGAAGGCATAAAATCTACCGGAACGAGAACCTCGCTATCAAAAATGCAGATAAGGAAGGAATGTTCGAAGGCTTATGTCGTTATTTTAGCCATTCTCAGTGCAAACAGCATGTACTGAATGTAAGACAGCGCGTGGAAAACAGGACACACAAAAGAAGACACTGGATATGCACTGTCACGCATCTTTTTCTTTGCGCCCTGTTTTCCACCTGCTCAGTATTGCCATAAATTTATGCAGATCGCCCAGTACAAGAATGTAATTCATATACTCGAGCAAAGTAAAGAAGGGGGGATGCTAGTTGTTGTGCTTGTTGGGTACCGTATGACGAACTTTCGGGTGTTAAGCTTGATATTGTAGCGAAGGAAGGCGTAATTTTAAAGACGATAGCCTTTCTTGAGATACTGTTAAAAAAAAATTATTGTTACAGACGTCAATAACATTTCAACAGAACATTTTCTTCTTGGATGTACAATAACCATGATGACAAAACGGACTTCATTTACAAGAACATGGATATGAGATGACGTGGAAAGAACGTGTACATTCGATGTTTCACACAAACACAGACACACAAAAGTGTGTTACAAAAAACAAATACCCGTCACCTTGCATTCTACAAAGTATGGCCTCCGAGATTGCAAGCAGATACTTACCACCTTATATCGACGTGTAAAGTGTTGCAGCCAGAACGCTCCAGCCACATTCTTCAAGCCGGCCTTTGCTACAGCGACACTGCCAGTTACAACCGCTGGATACACGACAACACATTCCAAAGGGCACTACTTCCCTTCATACACAACACCGGCCTAACTACGCACATTTAACAAACATACTCGCAAAAATATTATGTCTTAAAGGCAAGTCCTCGTCATAGTTAAAGAAAGTTACATTTCGAATACCCACATGTTGATTTCGACGCCAAAAGTTACATCTGTCGACTTCTCTGTTTGCCACAGAAAACGGCTCAAATCTAACCACATGGACAGCGCCAGCCCACATTTATCTGGCTTTTGTGTTCAAACTTTTACGTATTTTCGAATAAAATTGAACATTGTACGTATCTCAGGCAGAATCACAACACGTCAGCATCTGTGGCGTGTTTCTTTATACTACGAAAGGCGCAAATAAGTAATTCTGAGAAACCTAGTGCTTATTACGCTGTGCTGACAGTGAAAGAAAAGTGGGTGTTACCTTCACTTTGCTAAGACGATACTTTGGTGGCACGCACCAGTCACCTTGCATTCTACAAAGTATGGCCTACGAGATTGCGAACAAACGCCGCTCGCTCACTATACCAGAAGCCATCATTTCGTTTTCCAAGATTACTGCCAGATGGCGCTCATGTCTCACGCAGCGCCTCCAGAATCCCATGCACCAATTTTTTTCCGTGCAGGCCATCAAATAAACCTTTTATTCCCCCCCCCCCCCCCCAGACGCAACACTATCGTCTTTCAATGATATTTGCAGTGAAACATGCAGATACGGGGTCAATTTTTTCCACCATTTCTCCTCATTTCAATTTCACGCACAATTGGTGCTCCGCGATAGCTACAATGAACATCTTCCACGCTTTCTTGCCCTTTTTGTCTGTTAATTTGATTTGATGATGGGAGCATACAAGCGAGCCCCTGAAAAAAAAAGCACCCTCTAATTCATTCACTTGATCAGGGAACTTCGTCTTATCATAAATTCAGGGACTTTCGCTACCAACCCAATTAGTTCGTATACAATTGTAAAAAAACACATGATCATCGGGATAATAGACAAACGACCTTTCTCTGATAAAGTTTTATAAATTTTTTAAGCATAACTTTAGTCTTCGAACAGATTAACACCGAGCGTCCGTAATATCACTGATCTCATTGTTAATGCTGTTTTGCAGATACCACAAGCAGGTTTATGTCCCATTAAATTCTCAACTGAAATTTTTTTGACCGTCTATGACACTCGGTATTTGTTTTTCAAAGCGTTGCAAGCGCTAATACTATTTCTTTTTTTGCAAGTGTTGCTCACAGGGTGAACTAAAACAACGAAAGTGAGGTTGTTAGGGTACACGAGAGTATATGGTAAACTGTTCAGCATGGCAAAGATAATGCGTTTGGCGTGTTATGCCCTATGGCAAGGATATTATTTTTAGTGGCGCCGTAGTTGAGGGCTCAGGAAATTTGGACTATCTGACGTACTTTACCGTGCACAGACATCGCACAGTACACTTGTCGCCACGGCCGGAACTGAACCTGCGACCTTTTGGTCTGCAGTCGAGCACAGGGGCCAGTGATCCACCATGGTGGACGTATTTGTTAAGGGGTGAGCTACAACAAACAAAGACGAGATGAAGCGTTCTGGGTTGCGCCATGTGTACACGCAAAGGTGTAGATAAAGCGTAAGGTCCGTCTTACCGTTGTGAAATCTCCTCTCTGCAAGAGCGACATAGATGTCTCGGATCAACATGATAGCGCTGACAGTGTCTAAATTTGCAAATGCTCCGAGCAAAGTACACTGAAAAAAGGGCGGTATATAATTGAGCCGTGTTCTAACAAAAACAAGTCACGAAGTCTGCTGTAAGAGTATAATAAACACTTTGAACATTGAGCATTGTTTATTTTTGCAGAAGAAAAGATACAGAATTTTTTTTTGCGGGAGGCAAAGACTAAAGGATAAAAGCCTGACGAGGTCTCACCACTTTCAAGACGATTATCAATGGATAGGGCTGAACTGAAAGATGAGCGAAATATATGTGATGATTGTTGTGCAATGTGGAAGTTTGCTGCCCGTTCTTCCTCAGAACAAGATAACCATTTACGTTAACTTACACACTGCTATGAAAATGCATGGCGATCGCTCAACCAGAGGATATTCCATATGCACGATACGCGTTAACTTAAGGCTAGACTGTTCCAGTTGTGGTTAGAAGAATGTTACTTCATGATCCTGTGTGTGTAAGCATTGCAAATATTTATGCGTTTCAAAATGGTATACAGCCTTCGTTTACCCATATTTGAAAATGTGCCGGAATATATATCACACTTCTGAACTGCATCTTCTGAAAAAATTTGCGAGTCGGACACTTTGATATATTCATAACTCCGACCTTATAATATTAGCAAGATAAAATGAATGCTTTCTTTACAAATTAGTTTTGTACTTCACCGCCGGTAATATTGTGTTCGTTATTTAATAGCAAATGCGATATTAGGTGATCTTTAGAAAATGTATTTATTCTATCTTAAAACTTACAAAGACGATTGTTCGCCTACTGCAGATGCATAAAATTGAGCTAGGATTTGTCTATGAGAAAAACTCGAAAACGCTACAATTTTGTTGTTTAATTCTTAAACAGCACAATTAGGCTCAGTCATTGCCGCCGACAGCAATATTTGTCTATGTGTTTTTAGAAAAAAGGCCACTGAGGTTGGGCTCATGAGTACGCGAAGTGTCGCAAGAAAATGTACGAAGCCTACTTACACCAACCGCCACGATAGCTCGGGGTAGCCTCTTCTGAAAAACAAGGCACGAAGAGGCCATTAAATTGCAATTTTGTCATTTGAAGCCCTGTGAAGCGGGCGACGTCTCTACGGCTAACGGAAGGCGGTTCACGTAACACACTTCAGGTTCTACGTTCCCTTTCATTTTGCACTACAGGATAAGTAGAAACTTAGCATTTGATTTTGACGGGCCATATTGGCGAAGTATGCATAATGTGCATTTCGAGACATGCATACGGAGTGCCATCTCTCACTGGTGACCACGATGGGTAGCCGTAACTGAATGGTAAGTAGGTTAGAAAAAGTCAGATATGGCACGCAAAGCTAGTTACAGAAAATAACTTTGAGTTCTACACTGCACATTAAAATGACAAGTTGGGCTTGTCAGTACATTATTCTGCTGCACTGCACTCACAATCGACGGAACACAAACGACGACAACTAGCGCTGAACATTGAACAAAGTTATGAAAAATTTCGCCTACATTTACGCTTTCCGACATAGGCGTCATCCACTCCATCTGCGTCGTCGTTTGTGTTCCCTGCACTGTGTGTTTTTGCGCTGTATTGCGCCAGTCTAAAAGTAAAACAGAGGCTCCCTACAACTTTTTGGTAAAATTGAAGTGACGCAAGCAGGGAGCTTTCTTCATTGTTTATTGATTTACAAAAACGCTTCATGTGTGTCTATTGCGTGCTGTTCAGATTTAGTGGTGAGCGACACGCTTTGTAGCGTTACTGGTCTTTCAACGAAATATTCTTTATAAAATTTCTTTAGAAAACTCATTATGAAATTATTTACGAACGAGCATTTCATGAAGATATGGCTTTTTTGGCATGCCAGATATTGTTGTGGTCACCAATAGAAGGTGCCACGTAGATATACCACCAATTCATAGAAATGAGAAGTGACAGCTTGATACCTACCATATTCTCACTCTCCTGCTGAAATTGGAGCGCAAATGATACTGGTACTCTTCATACAGGAAATTGTTGCACCACTTCAAGTCCTGAATTTCCACATGATATAACTAATCGCTTTCTAACCTTAAGACAGCATGTTCAGAAATCCACATGTGCTGGCACCAGCGCAGTGATCGAAGAAGTCTCGTCTTTCAATAATGTCAACGCATTTTAAGCCTGCAAAGAGAAGCCTTGCCAAGTCGGTCTTTCCAAGTAATTTTATCAAAATATAGCGACTGGTCTTGAGATCCACCACAAGGTTTTACCCGATGGCAGTTACCCGAAATCCTTAATTGTGTGTTGAGCGTGCTGTATTTGAATATTATTGCGGGAACACCAAGACAGAGTTATGCTCGAAGCATTAGGTAGCGCAATTACGTACGATTTTTACATAGTATTCTTCTGAGAACAAAAGCGAGCCATTTGATTATGTGAGTTTTACCAATTTGTAAAGATACATTGAGAACTCTTGGCTAAAAGTGCCACAAGGTCACAACGGTGCGCAGCCACAGTTGTTGGTCTGGGCTGTACAGTTTGCAAATGGCATAAATCCAGATTTATCACACCTTGCAGGCTGGAAGATACAAATCTGCAGCAATATCCCGTGAGGCAATCACGGCTCCATATACCAAAACAAAAGACTAAGCGGCGCAAACGTCCGTCTCAACGTTCGTCTAAGGGAACACGCTAGCTGTCAAAATATGCGCCGTCCACACATCTTTCTTTCTATTGCTGACAGTGTGGTTACGCTGCTGAGCTGAACAAAACCATTGTGATGATGAGGTGCAGGTACCGCTAGACACGTGAAATATCTGAAGCATTTGAGTTTGTAAAAGCAAAAGACAAATGCGTAAGCCAGCCCTCAATCGCTCTCACAGATGCTGAGGATGCATATCTAGAGCATCCTTGTTTAGATGCTTGGTCGTAGTTATTGATATGTTTAGTGCTTTTCTTTACGTTTATATATGAAATGTTTCTATCATCAAACCTATAGTTAATAGACAGCGCTTCTGTTCTATACTTTCTTGTTTTTTCTGTCCTTTTTGCAGTAACCGCCTTGAGATTGTGACGTACCTTTTCTTCGCATAGGTCCCGTTGTTCTCGTATGCACTGAAAAAAAAATCAATGCTTACTATTTTCATTTTGTAGGTCTGATTTACTTAGCGAGATGTTTGACAGATATTTACCTTTTATATTTGACTGATCATTACAAGTTCAGAGAGACAATGAAGTGAACAAAGCCTCAACATTATAAAACATATGCTACTATGTTCATTATAAACCATCAGCTGTAATTTTTTCCGTAGTGTAGCGAGGGCGGTATGCACAGTCATTGTGTTTGAATGAGAGTGGAAGTTGAAAAACTCCCCTGTCGCCAGGCCACAGCCGAACGCATGAAGCGCTACACTGCACGTAAGTATTGGAGAGAGAATGAGAGGCACTGAATTTGTGCATGAACTTTTGTAATGAAGCAAAGCTTCCTCATAGCTTTTGAAGTTGTTTGAAAGATATTCATCACTTTTTCTTTAGGGGACTGTTAGATAAAGAAATCGATAGATAAGAAAAGCAAACAAAATGGCAGCACTATCAAACCGACACCGCTCAATTCATAATAATAGGCTGGTAATAAGGATGACTAAACATGATTCAAGAAGCTGGCTACTTCAAGAACCGGCAATAGTACATATTTTTGCGGCAGAACCTAATTTATAAACGTGGATTGTTTTCTCGCTTGAGTGGTATCTTGAAATATTTTCTTGAATAGTTTGTTAGCGATCTTTGTTCATTTTTTGAAGCTCTTGGAGCTGCATTTTGTCTATACAAAAGCAAAACTGAAATGCCCTCACCTCGCCTATGGAGAAAACGTCGGGCAACCTTAGCTCAAAGCAGTCACTACTAGAAATATTTAGCTCCGGACCATTTGAGTCCGACACCACATCCATAGCACGAACAACAGAGATGTCTGAAAAAAAAAAAAGGTGTTCTTCCTTGAGTCTACATATGCCCCACAAGCATCAACTACGATTTATGCTTTGAGCCTTACGTTAAATCCCACTATAATATGCTCATTCAAGTGCATTTCCGGCTATCTGCTTGCTATGAGTAAAATGCTTTATATGAAATTAGTTGTCAGATTACGAAACCGAATCTATCTAGGTCGCTGCTGAAAGAACCGACAACTGTATTTTAGATCGCGCCTCATCTGCTGACTGTGTGTTTTTAGATTTTAGTAAAGCATTTGACAAAGTTTTGAATCAACTGTTTTTTTTTCAAGTTAAGTCTTTTGAACCTCGAAAATTACATACTGAAATGGATTGAATATTTTCTTTGTAACCGCCATCAGTTTGTTACTGCTAATAATCATGACTCACCTGTAGCTTAAGTTCGCTCCGGCGTGCCACAAGGATCAGTAATAGGACCACGTCTTTTTCTAATCTACATTAACGATTTGCCATCTACATTGACATCTCATGTTCACCTATTTGCTGACGATTGCGTAATTGACCGTGATATAATCAGTACTGACGATTCTAATGCCCTTCAATCAGATTTCAACCTTATAAGTGATTGGTGGAATACCTGGCGAATGCAACTAAATACTAACCAATGTAAAATTTTACGTGTTCATAGAAATTCTACCACCCTTCCATTCTACCATATGAATAATCCCCTTAGATCCTGTTAATTTATATAAGTACTTAGGCGTTCATATATCTTCAAACCTAACGTGGTCTCTTCATATTGAATACATAACAAGTAGAGCTAACAGCACGCTTGGCTACTTAGGTCACAAATTTTCTAACGCCCCACCATCATTGAAATTACTACTTTATCAGTCATTAGTGCGCCCGAAACTTGAATACGCCGCAGCAGTGTGGGACCCTCACAACGTAAACCTCATCTTCTCTCTTGGACTCCTTCAAAACAATTCTGTTCGTTTCATTTCTTCCAATTATAACCGCACTTCCAGCATATCTTCAATGAAAGCTAACCTATGTCTTCCATCTCTAGCATCACGGAGAAAAATAGCTCGCCTAACTCTGTTTCATAAGCTATACCATCACCCATTTCTTCATAATAACTTCATTTCACAGCCACATTGCTTATCACACCGTGTAGACCATCGCTTCAAAGTCGGAATTCAAGCAGGAAACACCTAACACCTTTAATTATTCATTTTTCCCTAGAACATCTCGACAATGCAACCTCCTTCCCAATGACATAGTCACCATCATTGATAATCATCTTTTTCGAAAGGCTATAGCTAACATTGTTTAACTTGGAATGCATGGCACCTGATTATTGTTGTAAGGTTTTATAAACAGGAATTAATGTCATGTTTCTTTGTTTAGTTTTTAATATTATTGCAAAACATTTCCTTGCTACAATGTATGTACTGCTATTTGTAGTCGTTTGTTTTATTACACTGTTGTATTACATTCTTGTTCTGTTATTTACTACCCAAGTTTACATAATTTTCCGTTCACCACTCCCCTCTGTAATTCCATCGGGCCTTGAAGGTACAATAAATAAATCAAATAAATAAACAGTAAAAAAATTCATAGCGAAACCTAGCACAACGAGGGTGACTGTTTCTTCGTGTCATGGTGTCCTTAGGCTTTTCTTTATTATTTTTTGAGGCATCTCTTAGCGACAACTCTTCATCTGATTGAAGCTCTTGCAGCTACTTTCAATGATCCGTTATAATGAAGTCGGGCTTGTGTTATTTCATCGATCCGTTCTCATAATTTTTCTTGTGAAATATCTGTAGGGCAGACATTAAGAAGATCCTGCATTCGTTTTATGTTCTTTTTTAAAACTAGCCGAATGAAAGATTAGAGGGTTGCCTTTGTTTGAAAGTTTAGTAAGTTTTCAGTGCGTATTCCTAATTCTAACTCTTCTTACGATAGCATAGATCAATAAACATGTGATTCTACATGCGCGCCAGTTTTCAATGAAAAAGGTACACATCATGTTCTATAACTTCACACTTCCCACGAAATGTATATAAAGAACGGCTCTTTTTATGCTTGAGCGCGATATGTGGAGCATCATGTTTAAACGGAACTGAAAGGAAGCAGCGCGCCTGCGGATACACTAACACACTTGGTACTTATTCGGCGGTGGCAATGCGGAGTGAGACTACACTGTCTTATCATGATTGATACTTATGTTGCTGTTGTGTTAGTCTTGATCTTTCACGCGGAAAGACATCAATATTAAGATGTCTAATTACATGAAGGCCATCGCAGCTACTTGCTGCTGTACTATTGAGGCGTACGGAACAGACAGTCACGCTAACGGCTTGTTTATAGAGTTGCCAACAGTTTCATCATACAGGTTTTGTTTTAATTCTTGCTGGCAATGGCACTGCTTTCTTTTAAAGGGTATTATGCACATGTTGAGCAGGTAGATGCCAAGAAAACGTTGCTTCTTGTAGTTTTCACTTTGTGTTTGTTAAAGGAATTGACTATATTCGCATGCCTCTGATGTGACTTTGCTTTTAGTATATGACTTGTTGCCTTCCGCCATCACGAAGGTGCCTCTTCATATGTCGTGAGGAGAAAAATTGATGTTTTATCTAGTTCTTTACTGGTGCAAATGTGTCAGTTACTATAGAACTAAGGCTTTGTTTTCGGAAGTTACTGCTTGTATCAGTTTGTTCATTTTTATCAATGATAGTTTTAGTACTATGCTTCAAGTCACTTTTTGATGAACCGTGAATCGGCATGCGGGGTTCGACGTCCGAAATCCAGCATATGATTATAAGAGACGCCGAAGTGGGGGGCTCCAGAAATTTCGACCACCTGAGGTACTCTAACGTGCGCCCAAATCTGAGCACACGAGGCTGCAGCATTTTCGCATCCAATGAAAATGCAGCCGCCACAGCCGGGATGAAATTCCGTGACCTGTGGGTCAGCAGCCGAGTACCTAAGCCTTTAGACCACTGCGGCTGGAGCAAAAACCGTGAATTATTACGCGTGTCTCTCTATATTATATACGGCGGCTACTTCCCAAAAATGTCAGGAGGGCAAGATGATGTTGCTGTTAGCTGAAACAGAAAACCATCAGAGGTACTTTTCCTAGTATCGCTCTATGTAAATCGAGACTGCTGGAGTTCTTCTTTCATCAAATTAACTGACATTGCTTTAATAATGTAATCAACTTGAAGGTATCTATAAGTAATATCGAACTTATTAAACACGACAGCGCTCGTCTTCATTGGTCTCATTGTCCCACGTCTCCCAGTTACGCTACGATTTCTCTCGAAATGATATAATAACTAATCCGTACCCACATTTTGCTTCACATATAAAAGCACCAGATCCTATACATATTTTGTGGACATATTATAAATTACTCAGATTTCATTTTTATTGTTTGCTTTGAGCTGTGGTACACTAACTGAAGAATTTTTCGCGAATGTAAATAAACAAATGACCTGCTGCATGGCGTGGCATAGATATAACGACAATATTCGTAAATAGGGAATGCGCTGAAGCGCTAATGATTTGATAGGCCGACCAGCCTTCTTCAAGGATCCAACTGGTTATAAGGACATAAGTATATGCTGCATTTTCTCCTCTAACTGAAACTAAGAATAAGGAAAGGGCAACTATGGGTGTTTTCCAATACTCACTGTAGAGAACTAAATAGACAGCTAAGCGGACGGCGGCCATCTAATGTCTGATTCTAAATCTCACGTAGACGGCAAATGAACAGCTTCAAGAAGACCAAATCGTAGACAAATACAATGCAGACCAGTTTGTTGTCCAAACGAAATGGCGTCTCACCAAACGGCTCGGATAGCTTGAATCTTGCCAGGATAGGCATGTGCACTCAAACACCCTTCTCCAGTCACTCAGTGTGAGTAAAGTTATTTTTCTTGAAATCTAACTTGAATAAGAGTAAAAAGCAACAGTTATGTTTGCCTATTCTAGCTTTCTATTCTATACTCAAGGTGGCGCCTCATCGCGTAGAATCCGTGTAAACGTGTTTCATTTCTCAGACAACATAGGCTTGATACTATTTTCTAAGCTGTCGGCGTAGACTATCTACAATGCTGTTATGGAATCGGAACACAGCCCATGAAAGCGGGGGGGGGGGGGGGGCAAGCAGGACTATTATGCCGAGTCGGGTCAATCAAATGGAAAGACCAATGCAGTAGATTCTCTTTTGTACGACCGTTGATCAAGTTAACAAACTTTCCTGAAAGACGGACTTTCAGCAAGTTCCTGGTTGTTTTCGTTGGGATTGTATGCTAAAATTTTTCAGGTAAAGAAGTTTCTGAGTATGAATAGTTCATTTGAACCAACTCTACCTCTAGACCCGGGCTCAATTTTCGGGTCAATTCAATTAGGTTTCGCGTTCTGTACCACCACCACAGCCCATTTGTGCTGCTCCCCCCCCCCCCCCAATTACCTATCTATCGAACCTGGTGCAACATTTTTTGTGCATGGAGTGGCGCCTAAGTGAGCAGCCAAGCGAGATGTAGTTACTGTATGTTCTATGAGCATTAACTCAAGTGCAGGAGACAAAAATTAACCAAGTGTGCTTTAGTAGCTGTGGAAAACTAACAGATTTGCAAATGTTTCGAGTGTACGTCCCGAACCAAAGGATTAAACGTTGGCTGAAGAAGCGATAATGGCTAAGGCAGCATCAAATCCTGAAACTTAGCCAAGGCTGTGGCATATATGGAAAATTTTGAGAGTTCGTCTCATGGCAACAAGCTGTGCCAGAGGCAGTGCAGAGAAACGCAGGTACTCTGGAGACATTTTTTGCTTTTTGCGTTTGGAGGGCGCAAGTGAAAATAAAAGTGGCCAAACTCTATTTTGAAAAATTTTATTCTACACTTTTGATTTATATATGCTGTGTTAAATGTTTCACCATATTGTAATAATTTTGGGAGCCTTCATCTAAGCAAACTATTTCAATGGGTCCCTTGAAGTTTGGGTGAGAGAGAGTTCACTGTAGTTCATGAATAAAAAATAAAGCAATAGGCTCTTCGCTGAATTGTGGTAGTCATTGCGATGGCTATCTTAGTACGTCCACCAGTGTCTTCTTAATTGGCTACTTATCTTTTCTTTCAGGTCAACCGATACACATTCGTCGTGGCGGCCCTTCTATTTTTCCCATTGTAGTTCCAGTTTCCGCACATCAATTGCATCAATTGGCCAAGAGCGTATCGAAAGTATAAACGAATTGCTGTATTGATTGAGGAAATCCACCCACTTATTTAAACGTTGGATGTAGTAACAACTTTAACGAACTCTTCACATCTTCACGTTTCCATCTTGAGCTGATTTGCTCTGACTTTACAGACTTATACATTTACACATGCCGCTGTGTCTAGTGGTTGTACTGTTTGACGACTAAACGAAACTCACAGAATGGAACCCCACCTGTGATGGCCGCATTTCGATGGAGGCGAAAATATTTAAGAGCATCATGTGCTAGATTTATGTGCACGTAAAAAGAACAACCAGCGGCTGATTTTCCAGTGCCCAAATGTGAAAGGTCCCTCGTACCTAAATCGTGTTTTTCGGAGGTAAAGCTCTAACAGTTTTTATGTAGTTGTTATTTGTACACTTGCAACAAGTTCCTGACGATGATCACGCCATAGGTCGAACCGGTAAAGACTGAGTTCCTTGTCAGGAGAACTTGTGAGCGACCGAACCAGGAACTCTCAATGCCATGATAGCGGTGGTTAAAGTCGTGGATCGTGAAGAGTCGTACATTTTGTGAAAGTCATCGTATAATATACGGAGCATTTCTCAGCGAAATGCTCACTTTTAGCATTCCTATCTATCTATCTATCTATCTATCTATCTATCTATCTATCTATCTATCTATCTATCTATCTATCTATCTATCTATCTATCTATCTATCTATCCATCTATCTATCTATCTATCTATCCATCTATCTATCTATCTATCCATCTATCTATCTATCTATCTAGACGTGCTCGCGGCGTCTATGTGTTGTACTTTCGCCCGTGGTGTGGACAAGCCTCTTTTGCTTTCCCACCACCTATAGCAGCGAACACTGTACTGCTTTTTTGTGTGTGTTTCAAAGGTGTTGTGACTTGTTTGGGAGCAGTACTGTGTACTTGTGCAACGCTCGGCACCATGGCTGTCCGAATGTGCGTGCGCTGCGGCGTTAGTCATGCGAGGCGACGGTGAAGGCGGCCCTATGGCTCGCAAGGTCTCAACCGCCGTTAGTGACCGTACTCTTGCAGGACGCATGTACACTACACTGGCGCCCAATAGACACTACAATATATATCTGGCACCTCTAAAGTCTGAAGGTGTCTGTTGCTGCATCCCAATTGTAAGTGCAAAACACCTCTCACCAGGATCTATCTATCTATCTATCTATCTATCTATCTATCTATCTATCTATCTATCTATCTATCTATCTATCTATCTATCTATCTATCTGTCTGTCTATCTAGCCACCTACGTCTGGGTGCTCTCGTGATCGTATCTTTAACAAAGTGTTGACCGAAATTGATTTAGAAGGGTGAGATCTTATGAGTAATATAACTGTCTTGTCACGACATGAATAAGGTGAAAATTCAGTCACATACATCATGAAGTCCTTCCTTCCAGACACATGTGGCACGTACCTATACACCCCGGGTGGTGGTGCGCGCATATGCGCCACAGATGATTGAATGTTTATACCCAGCCCGGGAGGGCAAACACACTCATAAGTAACCTAAATATAAAAACATTAAAATTAACTAACGCCGGGAGCGTAGATATGCGAATAACAAGTCATGATCTCAGAAAGTGACCAAGCGTTCTGCGTTAGAATCAAGTATTCTAACACTTAGCAGTCTCATGTCTCCAAACAGCTTTTGAAAATTACCCTACACCGGTTCAAAATCGGTGCAATTTTAATTGTGGTTATGTTGCTGGCTATATAACGTCGGAACAACGAATAAACAATACATACGTAAGCCATTGACAGTGTGGTTAAGTCGGGCAAACGCGAGCTGTGTTTATATGTTCACTATACTCATATGGTAGTCGAATAAACACTGTTTTTACTTCTGTAATTCACCATGCTTCATTCAAGTGTGTTTCGACCTCAAGATAATACCTTAATGAAAGGTATGACTGATATCATCTTTGTCACACCATAAATTGAACTGCGTTTTGAAAACACTGCCGTCTGTCAGACCATACGTTACCTACTGTAGTCACGAATACATGAAACTGCAATGGACGTTTTCGTTTAGTTTCAGTTTCAGCTTCAGTTTATTGAGCATTTTCTTCACAGAGTTGCAAATACAAAAGCCTACGATGTGCCCACAACTACTGCACCTAACTTCGATCCACCTCCTATTACTTGCCTTCAAGCCGTGACAATTCAGCATGCACAATTGCGCGCCGGCTGCTACGCATGAAACCCGTTGTCATGACGTGTGAGATCAGCCGATTTTTTTTTTTTTTGCAGCCATGCTTCGTCATCGATTCTCTGAACCTTCGAAAATGTGCCTAATGAGACATGCCATTGGCGAAATTGTAGTATAAGTACTGAAAGGAATAGAGAATGCTCATGTAAATGAAATTGCGTCAGTGCGGTGAGCGCTAACGTGTTAAAAAATTCAACGTTTCACGCCTCGTCACGCTTAGAACGAGAGAATAGGAATAACTCGATGCTGTTCAAAAGACCAGAGCGACTATATGGTGGCAAAGTGCGTCGTAGTGAATAAGACCGGGCTTGGCTTGGCCAACTGGGCTTTTAGTGTGCCCCGAATTGACCTACGAAAGCATTGATGTATTGATTTATATCATTTGCATCGAAATTCAGCCACCATGACCATGAAGAGGATCTATGTCCTGGTGATAAGCAGTAGGACTGTGCAGCAGCTAGGCAACCACAGCTCGCAAAGAAAAAAACAAAGATCAAGTGAGACTGTCTCTCCTAAAGCTTATTGCAATTATATTGAAAGGTAGGCTGGTTGAAACATTAAAAGGTTCAGCAATTGCTGTAATCTTTGGAATCGGTTCTATATCGAAATGGTCTTAGTACTGGGCCAACTTTCTAAGCACACTAGCGTGATATGTGTGAGAGAAACACACAGCTTCTTTTCTTCGTTGATCACGAAAATAGAACGACATCTGCACAAAGAGAGATCACTTACCGTTGAGTACTAATGAAATGCATAGAGATCTCAAGATTACTAAGAGCACGCTCATCTTAAAGAGAGTCATACTTCCACGGTTGTGGAGAGAAATGTGTTGCAGTGTTCTGATGCACTTTGCTCGAACAACGGTTCACTTCTGGACGTAAAAAAAGAGACTCTGAGCGCCCACGGCAAGACACATGATTGACACTTTCATTTATGCGCAGCTGTTGCGACATAAAAACCAGGCTGCCTTGCATTCATTTTTCATGATACAGCACTAAATGGTCAAAGAAATAAAAAGCAAACGTGTTTTTCACAAGAATACAAGGGTACACAATGACAAATATTCTGGTAATTACCAACGTACAACAAAAGCATGAGTTCAACCTCGTTTGTGTAAAGCAACTGAGGCTGTCACGTTTGAAGCGAGTTTTTTTCAAAGACTGCTGGGGAGCGAAGTACATGAAATGAATAGGGTCAGGGGGTCAACTGTCACAAAACGACAAGAGGAGCGAGCTTGAGTTTCAAAACCATTGTTCTTCTTGGTGAAAAAAAGTCAGCGGTTTGAAACAAAGGCGAACAAATGAACGCGATAGCGACAAATTGGAAGGTCACATGAAGAATGGCAAGCAGATCGAAACGTTCTCCACACTTTTCACGCACAAATGACGCACGAAACGTAATTACAGGTACAGATAAACGCAAATAGGCGTCTCAGATGTTACTTCTTTGTGTCAGAAAAGCGCACCCTTTTCGCAAACGGACTGTGTAACGAGTGCAGTTACCATTGTGCGCCCAGTAACTACAACAGACGAGTTCCGCTGAAGGCCCAATAAGTACAATTGTCCCCACCGCGAGATGATTGTTGCAGCGCGAGCTCAGAACGACAACAAAGGGATAAGAAGAAGACGAGCCCACCAGGAGATAAACGAGTGTACGCGTGATAAAGTACGCGTGGGAGATGAGAGTGTGCGTCACCGCATTGTGACGATATGGCCACGCGCGCTCATTGCGCCATCTCGCTGCTAATTCTGAAAACACGATAGTAGTTTTCCCGAGAGGCTAATCGCCAGCGGTAAGTGGTATATATAAATATCATTGTTTTAACGTTGGAGGAGGTGGTCCTTCGTGGACCATTGGCTAACTCCTCTCACTCCTAATTCAGAGGTCAGACGTGTCATTGCGCGCACTGTATTCATTTTTTGGACTATTTTTTTCTTTTCTGCGCATTCATATATACTTACGTATACGTGAATGTCGGTGATGCCAACGCCGGCGGCAAACTTCAACCAAGAGTGTCCATATAATTGCTAACATAATAAAACAAACCATCTCAGCCATCAATGAGGAAAGCTATATAGTTGCATACCGAAAGATACTCAAACAGTTCTATAATATGTGAGACGAGATAAACGCTTGACCATCAATCAGTTTTGAATTAAGAACACCATATCTATGATTCCGGACGTATTTATCGAGGCGACAAATTACTCGCTCATGTAGGCTAGTACTTGAGAATTGTTGTCTGCGTGTTCTACCGAAAATTCAGTAATATAATGCATTTTCACCTCAAGTACCGCACTCCACAAGATCATTCGCACATAGCCGATGTTCTTGTTGAGATAAGCCGTTCTCGTTCTTTTTCGTTCTACTTTACATGCGTTTGCAGATTAATCCAGTTTCTCTTAACCATACTACAAAAATACGGCACTCTTGTCTTCGTTATATGTGTAAGTATCCCGGACATTGCTAGCTAGCACTTCGCGCTTCCGCGCTTCACGAGGACTTTGTGAAAGACTACGGGTATTTTTTTTTTGAAATACATTAGATGACTCCTGGTTCCATTATTTGATGAAGTAGAAAATAACGACTGTGTTCTGTATGTACTCACGTGGTAAAAAAAACATGAACTTCAAAGCAGCTGGTTCATCTACTGCTTCTATAAATGGAATTCTGGGGTCGTTCAACAAAAACGTTCTTAGTTTTGCTGAACACAAAATAAGCAAACTTTTTCTATGCGCACCAACCTATAGCAAATACTGTTTTTTTTTATATGGCATTCTAGATTACAAAAAAAAACACATTGTAAATTCGTAATAGTGCCATTCTAGCCTCCCTTTCTGGATGAAAAGCCAAAGCGTTATACGCTTCTTTGGGACAGTTCAGTGGCGGTGGTGGTGCTCAAAAACACTGATCGGTTTTGACAGCCCACAAAGAAACTGCTTCCTGATGATACGTAGCAACATTTAAAGTTACAGCCTTGTCGTGCTGTTAATTATGGTACAGGCAAGTTTGATATTTTTCATAGCAAACCACGACACACTTATATGTTATGTCGGATGGCATACTTGCTCTGGTGCAATAATTGGTCTGATTATTTTATGCGCAGAAAAACCCTTGCATGAAAAAGTATCAGTGAACTCTATTTTAATACAGTTGTGGCTATTACTGATTATCACCGTTCATAAACTTGGGCGTTTACTTTGTCAGGAAGGCTTTTCATATTAAAATTTAGGGCACATGAAATCATCGCTAATATGCTCTGAATAACAAATTAGGATGGGCAATAAAAACTATTTCTGAACAAATAACGCGAGATTCATGAATTCTGAGTAACGATTTTACTGCTAACAATTCAAATCGGGAAGCAAGTGAACGGAGCCTTCATTTTATTCACAAGATCTCGGTTACCACAAATTGCGGGAGAGCTAAGAATAATATCAAAGGCTGCCTCTCGAGGACTACAGGAGGATGAAGCTTATAAGCCGGAGCTGCGGCGTATAAGATGCGCTGGGGAAACACACATGTGGTTGGTGGTTTGATGAATCAACAGCTCGAGGCAGCCCACTCAGGAGAATGGGCCACGATAAAAGGTCGTCTTATTTTATTTCTTTTCCTCCTCGTCAATTCTTTGCTTTCACTGGATTTGCTATCTTTCCGTCAGCTACATGTTTCCCGTGCGTATTCTTTTCAATCAGTCATCCTTCATTCTGTGAAATCACCATAGACGCAGGTACAGCTGCGTCCACTGGACAAAAAAGTAAATTTTTACTACGGCGCAAATGTGGACTTGTCGACTGTATTTTGATAGAAAGACATCGGTCGAGATCAATCAAACAATGCAATCAGCGCACACGAGATGACAATGAAGAATAAGAAACAGGCCGCAATGCAGTATAACCTAATTTTTTTTTAATCGTTCAGCTGAAATCCTTAAGGCAGTCTGATATATGAACTCAGATGCATAATACTTGTATTCTTAATTCCTTGTAATAACTATCATTGCCTGTTCAACTTTTTAGATCGCCTAACGCATTCGAATGACCAGTCAAATTTTCAAGTACTCATTTAGGAAAAAAAATCCAGTATCTACAACAGCTGTAAAGAGTATTAAAACTAAAGGTGTGATTGTTTAGTTAAAAGCGGAAGTTTCATTTTTATCCTAAGAGCTCGATATCGTTCGAAATGTCTCCATTATTAAATGAGAATACTCAGAAGTTCTTAGCATAAGCGTCGTTCATTCCCGTAAGTGCTATGCTTTGATAGATTTTATTGGAGCGTCAGTTGAAGCACACTGCACTGAATTTTAGGAAGGGATCACAGGCAAAGCGCTATACCAGTAAATTTATTGTTACAATTGTGGTCTGTTTCCTAATATTTAATAGTATTGAATTTGCACACTGTACACCTAAATGTACTTCGTGTTTTTCAACAGCTTTACAGATTTTTGGTATCATCATAAAATCCTATATTTGAGAAGAAAATATCACTCAATGGTTTTATGCACGAATTTTGTTGACAGTTGAATACGATCATTGGAGTAGCTAGCGGAATGTTTGTGCAGTGCTGGGGCAATAATACTTCTTGAGGAGAGGTTGCTACAATATTAGGTAATAGTCCTACATGACCAAACTGTTTGTTGTTTCTTTTATCAGTGCCTTGCCATTTGCGTGCTTACAACGTTTTCCACCACAGCCGCTGGAAAGTTTTGATGCAACCTAATTATAGACATTTCCCGATGATTTTCTTTTAGAGCACCTCCGGTGGTAACTTTACTTCTTTGCGGACTTCAAAACACGCTGAACGTCTATTGCTCGGGCCTCTCGTGCTACAGAGATCAAAGGTGCAACTGCGCACACTCCACTAGATTAGGCATGGGAATGTCAGCTTAGCTGAGCGCATGTACATACACTAGTTTTTCTTTTGGCGTGTTGTCGGGTGCACTGTGCAGACTAGCACAAAGAAATCTGGAAAATAGATCTGCAAAGTTAAAAGCACTGACAGAGTTATTGCTGACTGAAAGGCTTGCAAATAACGCAAGACATTTTGTTCAATAACTTCTTGGCCCTTTATCAATTTTTTGGTGAGACTGATGCTATTGATTGGGTCGACGTTACTTCAATAAATAACAAAAAATAATTCATTACTTCACACAACTGCGCACCACAACTCCCGTTAAAACTGTAGTTCTGCTGCAACTGGGGTGGATGGCCGTGACTCACCGCAACGAGCAAGCAGCCGGTTCAAATCAATATCTCGGTTTAGAAGTCGCTCCCTAGGCCTGTGGAATGGAACCTCGTCTAAACGGCGAGCCAAGTACCGATCCAGAGATCGTCGTTGATCCCAATCTAGAGGCTCATCACACTTGAGGAGCCGGTGCAGTAACCTGCATGAAACACTCCGTTTCCAAAGCCCACCCGAACCAGAGATGCAGGGTGGCACCTGGGTTGACCTTGTGCGCAGCAGAGGAGGTGGAAAGATAACGGGGCGCACTGCGCCAGAGCATGGTCTAGTAGAGCTAAATCAGCGTAGGAAGGACTGCCGAAATGCGCAGCTATTAGTGAGTCACTGGGATACAAAATGGCTGAGCTTAGACGTTCCAATACATGTCAAGCTACTCGGTATCTGCTTCTCAGTCGGTAGGTTCTCCTTCTCCTTAACCTGCGGACGATCCCATGGTCGAAGAAGGGGGCCCCTCGGCCGCCCAGCTAAGCGAAAGGCTGTGACATCGGCCGAGATTGTGCAGGCTAAACCTAAATCTGAAATTACAGACTTTAAATTCAATTTGCCTTTATATTTAGACTTAATGAGGGTTTTTCGGCAGTAGAATGACGTCTCACGGTTATTTATCAGCATATGAACATTCCACATGC